CGCTTTATATATCACGAGCTCCTGTCACGGTCAAGGCGACACCATCACACCCGCCCATGCATGGCACTGCTCATGCTTTCACGTGGTATGTAAAGTATCTAAAGATTTTAACTTTCATTTAGCACATTGCCATTAGCATTTAGCAGATTTTTTTTTTTTTTTTTTTTTTTTTTTTTAATAGCTGTAAACGATTTTGTACTCAAATAGCAGAAGACCTGCCCTTGAAAAAAGAACAAAAAGAAAATCCGATTGTCTTCAAGGAAAACGACCAGACAACGTACAGCATTCTCCTACCGTTTCATTACTTTCCGGTCGAATTTAGCCTCAGTCGAAGTTACTTGCAGAATCACACTTCCACTCCCAATTCATTTGCCTTCCAGAGGTTTCGTCACATGCTACGTGAAACATTTTTTTTCTATGGAACTAATATGTTATGGGAGCAAGTTCATTATCAGTCAGTGTCTCCTTACAAACGTTGACTTTTTAAACATATAAACAGACAAAACAAAAAAAATAAACATTGATAATGCACTTATCACGGCCTTTATTATCACTTGTTATTGTCATTAATAATACTAATGACCATAGTATAAAGATAATGATAATGGTAGAGATAACTATGTCAATATTAGTATTATCATTAGTAATATTATCCTTATCATTACCTTTATTATTATTATTATTATTATTATTGCTAACATTATTACTATTGTGATAATTTTTGTTAATGTTATTGTTATTAGTATTACTATTATTACTATTATCATTATAATTGATATTATTACTATAATTATTGTAATTATCAATTGTAATGATCTTATTCTTGTCACTATTATTATTATTATTATTGTCATTATTATTATTACCTTTATTATTAGTATTACTGCTATTATTATGGTTACAATTATTAATATTATTATTACCAAAAAATATAATTTTTGTTATTATTATTATTATCTATTTATTTTTATATTATCATAACTATTATTATTATCATTATTATTGTTGTTGTTAGCATTATTATTACTATTGTTGTTATTATTATTGTTATTATCATTATGATCATTGTATTTATTGTTATTATCATTATTATGAAGATGATTATTAATATTTTTTATAGTAGCAATGATAATAAAAAATTATAATTAGTATAATTATTATCATCATTATTAATACTATTATAATTATTACTATTATAATTTTTATGATACTTATCAGTATCATTATTATAAAAAAAAACAATGATAATACATTTCTCATGACCTTTATTATCACTTATTGTCATTAAGAATATTAATGACAATAAGTTGATGATAATGATAATGTTAGTGATAATAATATTCATTACCAGTATCATTTTTGTGGTAATTATCAGTATCATTATTATAAAAAAACAATAAACAATGATACATTTCTCAAGACCTTTATTATCACTTATTGTCATTAAAAATATTAATGACAATAAGTCGATGATAATGATAATGATAGTGATAATGATATCAATATTATCAGTATCATCATTATTATTATCATTATCGTTGCCAGTTTTAGCATCATTATTATTGTCATTATTATTATTAACATTCTTATTATCCTTATTGTTATCATTATTGTTAGTGATTTTTATTTTTATTACTGTTATTACTATCATTATTATTATTAACATTATTATCGTCATCATTTTTATCATCCTTGTTGTTACTATTATAATAATTAATATTATCATTATTGTTATTATTATTATTATTATCATTATCATAATGATTATCATTATTATCATCATCATCATTATTATTATCATTATCATTACTGCTATTATCATCGTTACTATTATTATTACAGTCAATATCTTTATTGTTATTATTATTACTGTTATTATTAGTAGCAATACTACTATCTTTATCATCATTATCATTATTGCTATTATTATTTTTATTATCATTATCATTAATATTATCGTTATCTTTATCATTGCTATTATTATTATCATTATTATTATTATAGTAACAATAATAATAACGACAATAATAATGATTATGATTTTTTATTATCCTCATTATTATTGATATTTTAATTATTACTATTATCATTATCATTATGATAATTATCACTATTATTACTATTATTAAAAAACAAAAAATAATGATAATACGTTTCTCACTTTCTCTATTATCACTTAGTACTGTCATTAATAATATTAACGACAATAAAGTTAATAATGAAAATGATATTATTATTATTATTATTACAAACAATATCATTTTTATTATTATAACTATTATTATTATCATTATTATTGTTGTTGTTAGGATTATTATTACTATTGTTGTTATTATTATTATCATTATTATCATTATAATCATTGTATTTATTGTTATTACCATTATTATTATGATAATTATTAATATTTTTTATAATAACAATGATAATAATAAAAATGATAATTAGTATAATTATTATCATCATTATTAATACAACTATATCCATTACCATTATCATT